GTACACACATACACAGATGAAAGGTGGGAGGAGAGACAAAGGAGGTGGGGTAGGTAGACAGCACTGGTAGGTCACCGAGATAGAATCCGATAGGTCCACCGATATGGTAGTCCAAAATGTCATCCAACAAGAACAAAATGTCGAGGACAATCAGTCAACAATGTCGGAGATACAGAGTCCAAATGTAACCGGTGTCCGAACTGTGATGCAGCCAAGTATCAACCCCAACTATCTCCAAGTCTCCAATCCGGTAAGTACCACAGTCTCATACCACTGAAGTCCAACACTGATCTCTGTCCACTAGTATAAGTCTCCAATCTGAAGAAGAAGAAGAAGAAGAAGAAGAAGAAAAAGAAGAAGATGGAGTCTGAAGAGAAGAAGGAGAAGAAGAAGAAGAAGAAGAAGAAGAAGAAGAGAGAGTCGAGGAGGAGAGAGAGAGAGAGAGGACTGACGATGGGATGAGGAGAGAACCTTCGGCTCCCTGATACCTCAGGCGGCGATGGCCGCCGATCTGGCTCAGTCGCCCTGCTGCTGCTCCGCTCGTCGCTGCTGCGCTAATGCTGCGCTACTGCTGCCTGCTCCTCGCTCTTGTGCTAAGAATAGCACCAACGCTAATGTGCGCTGTACCATACCGTACCGGTAGAATGCCGGTAGGTCGATAGCCTCACGGAGGCTGGACCGGTACTTTTGTACCGGTGGGCAGAGGTCGGCCTCTATGTTGCGAGGCCTGACCGTGCCCTGAACCGTCCAGATGGACGGTTCAGCCCCAACCAGCGGGCGGCAGCCTCAAGAGCGCCGCCAGGGCCAAACGGTAATATCGTTTGGGCCGGCCCGTCGGGTCTGGTCCAAGGTAAGGCCTTTACGGCCTGTAGTACCCCCAAGGTCGGGCCTTTAGCCCTACTGTGTCCCTCTACCCCTATGTCGGGTCTAGTAGGACCCGTGTGGCGTCGAAGATGTAACACACTCCCCCTCTTAAAAGACCGAGCTACCTGCGAGGGCGGAGTTGTCTGTCCGATACCGAGATGGGTCGGGTGGGACGAGTTGCTGCCTTGGCAAGTCGTGTCTTCTCATAGTTGGCGAAGATGAGGGGTGCAGAAGTCTGCAAGTCTGCACTAGAGATCCACCGAGTGTCGTCAGGCGCACATTGCTTGAATGTGACTTTGTACTGCATTGGCTTGTTGCCATACTTGCGGTGCGTGATGACTCGGTCCACTTCCTGATGTCCGTCCATAGAAGGCGGATCCTGTGATCAACGTCCGGGAAACTCGTCAACTGAAGGTGGCGTGTAGATGGCCAGCTTCGATGTGTGGAAGACCCGATGCACTGTAAGGTGCGGTGGAATGTTGATCACGAAGGAAGGACATGCGGGGTCGTCTCCAACGACAGAAGCGACTTCCCATGGTCCGAACCATTTCGGGTCCTGCTCGAGCGCAAATTCCTCGGAGAGGACCCAAACAAGGTCTCCCTCGCGGAAAGGACATGGAAGTCGACGTCGGTTAGCCTGCTGCTGCATGCGGATYTGAGCCTTTTGCATATTTGCGCGGGCTTTGATCAGCAAGTCCCGGTACTTCCGAACGGAAGCGGGAGAGCAAGGGACATCTATGTCGGCAGCCTGTGGCAGAAGGAGATCAGCGAAGACCCGTGCTCTCTCCACCATGATGTAGCTCGAATGGTGTACGCAGATCGCCGGGTGCACCGAAGTGTTATAGGCGAACTCGATGTCGGGAAGCGGGTCAACCCAATCTTTCTGGTCGGGACGGATGAGCGTACGCAACATCATCTGAGCGGTCTGGTGCGCTCGCTCCATCTGGCCATCCGTCTACGGGTGCCGAGCCGAGCTCGGCTTCATTGTCGTATCGGACTCAACCATGAGGGAAGTCCAAAAGGTTGACATGAAGCGAGTATCTCGGTCACTCACTATGTCTTCCGGAACACCCTGGTTGGTAATCCAACCGGTGTGCAAGAGTCGTGCGAGTTCGGGTGCTGCAGCATGATTCTTGCAAGGAAGGAAGCGAGCATACTTGCTCAAACGGTCAACGACCGTGAGAATACCGTCATGGCCGTGGCGATCGCGGGGAAACGGGTCTGTCACGTCCATAGCAATGGAGAGGCGTGGTGCCCGAGGAATCGGCAACGGTTTCAGTTCGCCGAAGGGGACTCGAGATCGACCCTTGTTACGGTGGCAAATTGCACATGACTCCACGTACCTCGTGACGTCATGACGGACGTCGGGCCAGTGAAAACGCTGGTGGAGGCGTGTTAATGTGCGATTCACGCCAAGGTGTGCTGAAAGTTGTGCGTGGTGGAATTCGCCGAGAAGACGAGTCCGTAAGGTGCGATCTTGGGGCACAACTAACAAGTCCTTTCCTCTCGTGTGAAGGAGAAAGAACCTGTCGGAAATCCGATAGTGGCTAGCCGACGGGTGGTCCGATGAGAGCTCTGCATATAGCGTAGAGTAAGTCGGATCGGACTTGTAGCCTTTGACGAATTGTGGCTGCAGATCGTCATCGAAGTCGAATGTCATGGTCACAATGGCACAAAAGTCGGGCCGTCGTGAGAGGGCGTCCGCAGCTCAATTGGCGGGACCGGGAATGTGGCACTGGTCAAAATTGAACTGGTCGATGTAATACATCCATCGACTGATCGTGTTAGTGACCGTGTCCTGCGTCTTGTAAAAGGTCAACGGATTGTTGTACGTAGTCCATTTAAAACGCCGACGGCCAAGAAGAAAGTGGCGCCACCGTTTGAGAACGGTGTCGAACGCGAGTAGCTCATTCTTCCTAGCGTCGTGGAGAGTGTTGACGAGAGGCACCTTTTGGGAGAAATACTCAACCGGATGCCAATCGTCTTCGTGACACTATTCCAACACCGCACCAATACCGTATCCCGACGCGTCCGTAGTCACTTGGGTGGGTAGGGTGGGGTCGTATATACGGAGGGCAGGTGCGGTTGCATTGCTGCCTACAACGTAGTGAACGCACCACAGGCCGCGTCGTCGAACTTGAAGGGCACCTTCGGGGACTGGAGTCTCGACAAAGGAGCTGCCACTTTCGAGTATGACTCGACGAATCGCTGATAATATATCCAGCCAATCCCATGAAAGAGCGTACGTTCGTCGTACAACGGGGTTCCGGCGAATCCACGATGGCTTGGATCTTGTCCGTTAAGGGACGAATGCCTTTTGGCGTAACATAGTGGCCCAAATACTCGAGCTCTTGCTTGGCGAACTCACACTTGTCGCGGTTCGCTTTGTAATTTGCCAGTCGTAAACGATTCACAACAGCACGAAGGTGTGTGATGTGCTCGTCCAACGTCCTGCTATAGACCAAGATGTCATCGAGGTAGATGAGGACGCTGCGATCGAGCAAGTCACAAAACTCAGTCGTCATAGCTGCTTGAAAAGTTGCGGGGGCATTGGTGAGGCCAAAAGGCATGACAACCCACTCAAAATGCCCGTACCGCGTCTTGAATGCGGTCTTGTACCGATCTTGAGGCTGGATTTCAATCTGGTGGTAACCTGACTTCAAGTCCAACTTCGAGAAGTACGTCGCGTCGCCTAACCGCTCAAGGAGATCATCAATCCAAGGGAGAGGGTCGGCGTTCTTTACGGTTTGTGCGTTAAGTTTTCGATAATCGATGCATAACCATAGATCTTTGTTCTTCTTCCTGACGAAGAGAACAGGGGCACCGTATGGCGAGCAACTAGGGCGAACCCAACCCTTGTCGAGAAGGTCATCGAGTTGTGCGCGAAGCACCTCGAGTTCCTCTTCGCTCATGCGGTAGATACATCCACGCGGAGGGACGGCGCCAGCCTCGAGAGTGATCCCGTGACTTATGGGCCGATCTGGAACCGTTCCGGTGGGAGCCTCGAAGACGTCTCTATACTCGTCCAAGAGGTGAGAAATGCGTGGGTCCGGCGGTGACGCGGTTGGTCCGTCCGGCGAGGGGAGAGCATGAAAAATTACAAGGCCCATCTCCTCGACGTCATTTCGAGCAATGGCGTCGCGAATTCTCGCAACGGAAACCACGTGACAAACAATCGAAGTGTGAGGGGTCGCGACCGTACATGGGACTAACACTCCGTTCCGATCACGGGTGTGAACGGTTTGGTCATGGAAGTTCACCGGATGATCGGCGCTACGCAACCAAGACATGCCTAGAATCATGTCGAACTTGGTGTCGAGGATGTCAAAAGACACCGGCTCGCACGCAAGTGGCGCAAAGTATACCGGAACGCCATCGACGCATCGGTCAATTGACTTTTGCGTGCGGCCGTCCGCGAGTGTAACTTGCGTAGGTTGCGTCTTCCTTCGAACGTGCGGGCCAAGACCTGCGCGGGCCATAAAGGCTTGGCTCATAAAGTTGCGAGACGCTCCGCAATCAATCAAGGCACTACAGGTTGCCTTTCCGATTTGAATGCGGATATAGAGCAAAGGCGCTTTGGTTTCGGCGTTCCTTTGGGCGGCGTACTCGCGGTCAATGTTCGCCAGATAGGAGCGGAGATCGACAACCGCTACTCCGTCGTCTGTCAACGGAGCTGGTACTGTAGCGTGCAAATAGGAGCGTAGAGTTGCCATCAAGGCGTTGCAATGCGGCCTTGGCAAGGTTCCGATCGAGGGTAGAGGCATCCAAGCGAAGTCCTTTCTCGTGAGCGGGTCAAGCTCCTCAAGCCTTGACCACGCCGTCGAGTCCTCGGAAGTCAGTGGCGAACTGACCGGATCACTTGCCGACGGTGTACAGGCTGCGCATGCGCAATCCAAGTGCACGTGGCTTGGCTGGTCTAGTGGTGGTACCAGCTGGGCGGCATAATCTATGTACGTGGCACGAGAATCAGCGACTAACGTATGCTCCCCGGTAGTGACATCGATTGCTAGCAAGGCAGCCGGTTCCGGCGGAGTGAGGAGAGACGTCGCCCCTCTCCTTGCGTAACTCAGTTTTCCGAGTTTGTTGGACGGGGTACGTGTGTCTTGCCCTTTTCGGGGCATTGTGCGGTCACATGAGTAACGTCGTTGCACCAAAGGCAGTATCCGTACTTTTGACGAAGGTCAGAGACATCCTTGGTTATCTTGTAAGTCGTGCATGGCTGCTGCCCTGTTCCTGTAGATGTCGACTCTTGTGTCGCCTTGTTCTTCCGAACTCTCTTGGGACGCTCCGGCGGGAGCGCTGCTACAATTCCCCCATCACTCGAGGATGCTGCTGCAGCGTGGAGATCGTCTGCTTCTTCAGAAATCACGACATTGTTGTGTGTCGGACGTTGATAGCCATGCTTAGCCACATAATGCGGTTGGGACTGCCGTTCGTTTGCGGCCTTGTCATCCGTTTGGATGACCAAGTTTGCACGATCCAGAATGGCCTGGAATGAATCATAATCGTACTCGTTACCGAGTGCCGATCGCAGTCTTGCGCACGATCGCGACAAGAACTCGGATCGTTGATTGGTAAAACTCAAATCGAAGCCTGTCGTGGTCACTATCTTCTGCCACTTAGTTGTCCAGTCTCGAGTTGGCATACTACTTTGAGAGCAGGCGGACACCTCGTTCATGGTTGCCTTCATGACGTTGTGAACCATGAACTGGGTGAGTCATCGCTTCTCGAACTCTTTCCACGTGATGTGCGTGGGGAGTTCGACGATGGTGCATTTGTTAGTAGCCGCCAGATGGTTCATCCATGTCTGCGCTCCTCCAATCAGTTGCAAATAGAGCGCCTTCATCATGTCGTCCGCCGGGACTGTGCGGCATGCTGCTTCCGTGAGGAAACGTTGCCACCATGTCAAGGCGTCAGACTTGTTGCAGTCGTCGAACTTGCTGATGTCGAAGTGCGGCATCTTGTAAGTCTTCGTAGTGGCGTCCGGTCTCGTCTGCAGCTTGGTGATGTTCGTCTTGATGGCGGCCACCGTGCTACTGATCGTGTCCGGCCCATTGAAAACACCTATATTGCCGATGAGTTTGACGACATGATCGATGCGCCCATTGAGCTGCTTCGTCTCGTCTGTTGTGCAACCTGGGGCTACTGAGGCCTTGGCCTCAATGCTGTTGATGCGTGCGATGGTAGAGTTCAACAGCTGTTGCTGTTGCTGCTGCTGCGTTGCTGCGTCGCGGAAGGCAGCCGTTACAGCGGTCAGGTCTTGCTGGTACTGTTGTCTTTGCTGTCGTTCCACGTGCAGGTGTGCCTGCAGTAGTTTGTTGTTCCACATTACTCCCCTCATTACATTCAACATCACGGTAGCCAGGTTACTTCTCTCTGGCTCCGCCTGTCTCGGCTCTGCTTGTGTTTCCGAAGGCACAAAGAACATGGCTTGGAGTATCGTTGTCCATTGATGCTCACAAGCGATCAAGGCCTCCGTGCTGGCGGCATTCCGTCGGTCTCATGCCGTTGCGTCAGCATCAACAGTCTGCTGAGCTTGGGCTGTTGCCTCATTCGTCAGCCGCTGACGTTCAGTTTATGCTGCCTCCTCTTGTGCCTTTGCGGTAGCCACGGCATCTGTGAATGCCTGTACCCGTTGAAGGTAAGCTGCCAACGGCTCACCGGTACCTTGGACCAGCATGCGGGAAGAATCGCGGTGGTTAGTGGTACTGTCATTGCTGTACTCAATGCCGTTGAAGTCTTCTGCTTGCTGAGGCGTTGTTGCTGAGCCTTGTTTCGTGGAGGTAACACCGAGCGGTTACGAACTGCAAGCCTGGCACTGCGTCGTGGCAGTGCCCCGGTGTCCTGTTCCATCGACACCATTTTGATCTGATGTGGTAGTTGAGAAGTCTCGGTGGTCACAGATTACGGGGAGGGTAGAGAGAGAGTGGGCACAGGGGTAGAACAATCAAACAATACACATGCAGTCCCCTGTCCCACAGATGGACTGTAGACACCTAATCTAAAACAAAAAAAATAAATTTCCTGTAAACAATTCAAAAAATTCGTAATAACAAATAAAATTAACGAATTATTTAATAAAGTTTAAATTAATGACAAATAACGAAATAATAATTCTTAATGATAATCAATAAAACAATGTTTGTAATAAAGATAATCAAGAACCAATATTTGCAATAGATGTAATCAATAAGCAATATTTGCAATAATGGTAATGAACGAATTTGAATTGTATCAAGATTAGGTCCTTTTGAGATCAAATACGCTCCGGGAATTCATCATTAATGAGTGAACTACCCGGAAGTTGCAACTTTGAGGGTTAGCTTCGGATTAGTTTGCCCAAAAAAAATAATTCGGAAAAAGTTAGAAAAAAATACTCGAATTTTTAAAAACGTGAATTTTTGGGAATTTCCACCGTCAAAATCCGATTTTTAAAGGCCAAAACCCGTTTTCGGAATTTCTCAAACAAGGGAAACGGAAAAAAAAAATTCGCGAAAATTTCGGTCCCAACCTTAATTTTCCGCGTTTCGGCGGAATTTTCGGATTTACGGTCCCAAAACGTTCGAATTTCCCCAAGTTGATCTAAAACCAAAAGATTTTCGTAACCCTAATTTCCAATACTGAAAGACAACGGAAATCCAAAAGAAAATGAAATATAGGATTTACAACAGAATGCCGAAAAATGGAATGCTGAATGGAAAGCAGAAAAGCCGAATTTCAACATAATACTGATTCAACCCTAATACGTGTACAATCAGAAAAACGAATATTAACTAGTTATCGGATTAGTGTCACTCAATCGGAACCCAAATAAACAGCATACCGGGAGAAAACAGAAATCCGAATTATAAGTCCGAATACCGAATTGAAACGGAAATGCCGAAGTAAATAGAATACCGAAAATAAAAGAAAAAAAAATTTGCAACTTTGAACTTGATAGTAATTCAGCGCTGATTTGGAAGATTGAAGAACAATCTAATTCCTAGATCAGTCTTACCTGGTGAGGAGATCCGTAATTCGTCTGCTCCGATATCAAAACTGTTACATACTTCAATGAGTATGGGCAGAACCAAAGATCAACCAATGCAGGATGAGCATATATGCAGCGGAAGTCTGATAAACGGACTGACTCACATAGACTGACTCAAGAATCACTCCACACACATACAATCGTGAGATGGTGGGGTCTGGGCCAAGCATGGACGATGCCCAGATCCCGTACACACATACACAGATGAAAGGTGGGAGGAGAGACAAAGGAGGTGGGGTAGGTAGACAGCACTGGTAGGTCACCGAGATAGAATCCGATAGGTCCACCGATATGGTAGTCCAAAATGTCATCCAACAAGAACAAAATGTCGAGGACAATCAGTCAACAATGTCGGAGATACAGAGTCCAAATGTAACCGGTGTCCGAACTGTGATGCAGCCAAGTATCAACCCCAACTATCTCCAAGTCTCCAATCCGGTAAGTACCACAGTCTCATACCACTGAAGTCCAACACTGATCTCTGTCCACTAGTATAAGTCTCCAATCTGAAGAAGAAGAAGAAGAAGAAGAAGAAGAAAAAGAAGAAGATGGAGTCTGAAGAGAAGAAGGAGAAGAAGAAGAAGAAGAAGAAGAAGAAGAAGAGAGAGTCGAGGAGGAGAGAGAGAGAGAGAGGACTGACGATGGGATGAGGAGAGAACCTTCGGCTCCCTGATACCTCAGGCGGCGATGGCCGCCGATCTGGCTCAGTCGCCCTGCTGCTGCTCCGCTCGTCGCTGCTGCGCTAATGCTGCGCTACTGCTGCCTGCTCCTCGCTCTTGTGCTAAGAATAGCACCAACGCTAATGTGCGCTGTACCATACCGTACCGGTAGAATGCCGGTAGGTCGATAGCCTCACGGAGGCTGGACCGGTACTTTTGTACCGGTGGGCAGAGGTCGGCCTCTATGTTGCGAGGCCTGACCGTGCCCTGAACCGTCCAGATGGACGGTTCAGCCCCAACCGGCGGGCAGCAGCCTCAAGAGCGCCGCCAGGCCCAAACGGTAATATCGTTTGGGCCGCCCCGTCGGGTCTGGTCCAAGGTAAAGGCCTTTACGGCCTGTAGTACCCCCAAGGTCGGGCCTTTGGCCCAACTGTGTCCCTCTACCCCTATGTCGGGTCTGGTAGGACCCGTGTGGCGTCGAAGATGTAACACTCTGTGTGTGTGCGTGTGTGTGTGTGTGTGTGTCTGTGTGTGCTTACCACTCGATGACTTCCCCTCTACCCAATGTGAGTCCTTGCCTCATACGTCCCTCAGCCCATCCCAAAACCATGAGACTCTTCCCCCACCACCTCCGTTGTATTCCCCCTCCTTATTGTATGTGATTCAAACTTCTCACTCCCCATCCTGTGCAACTCTCCCCTCCACTCCCAAAGGGACCTTCCCCCCCCCTCCTCTCTCGCCTAGGTGGCTCTTGCCCACCATTCACTTTCCCTCCTGTCCCATCAAGTTGCCCCATCCACCCACTTTCCCTCCTGCCCCATCAAGTTGCCCCATCCACCATTCGGTATCTCTCTCTCCTTCTTCTGCATGGCTGCTCTCCCAATTTTCTAACGATTGTTTGCAAGTCGTTTTTTTTGCAATCACATCCTGCTCTCACTCATCTCTCACTAATCGAGGTAAACTCAATCGATGAACGAACCCCACCCTCATTGACCCTCTCTCTCGTCTCCTGCATCGCTTCAGGTGCCAGTCATATAATTTATAACTGACATGCCTGAAGGGGCCCCACCCTCATGAACCTGTCTCTTGTCTCCCGCATCGCTTGAGGTGTCAGTCGTATAGTTTATAACTGACATGACTGAAGGGATGATGCGGTGTATTTGCATAACGGTCAATGCGTATACTTCTTTGCAAATAATCTTTATGGGTGCACGCTTTGGAATGTATATATCCAATTGGGAACTGTGCATCTCACACAATGATCGTCGGTTCGATAATTTTAACATGGGCCTTGCAATCTGCACCTTTTTCTTCTTCTTCACCGCATCTTCTTCTTCACTACCTGTCCCATCTCGATGTGGAGATGTATGCATCCACTATGTGTGGCGATCTATGTATGAATACATACCCCAATGATCCAATCTCATAACTGCATTATCTATTCACCAATCATCAATCATAAAAGCCTCAAAGGCTGGTGCTGAAATGTAGACCCCTCGAGACGAGTGGAAATTGGATGACTTTGAAAGCTACTAGCGAATATTCAATTTCCCAATGTCATAACTCTACCTATATGTCTGCACTCCCTAGTCACCAGACCACAGTGTGTCGCCTTCCAAGCATCGACTGCATCGCACTGATTGAATGTGTTATATGGGGTGGTTTTGCTTGGACTATGTTGTTTATGGGAGGTATCATGTATTTAGCTAATCTTGCACCTTTTCTCATTGTCTTTGCATTAACCGGGTTAGAGTTGAGTGTTGTTGTATTACAAGCTTATGTTTTTACTATTCTAATATGTATTTACCTAAATGACGCTTGACCTGATGATGTTCGTACAGATACGCGAATGGGAGATTGGATTTGACGAAAAATATAAACAATGAATCGCATTTTCAGTTTCGTTCAAACCTTTGGACAATAGCTAACGCGAATCATGGTCATGTGCATCTAGCATATACCAATCTACACTCCAGACAATCGACCTCCTTAATGATAGTATGCAGTTTAATCAACTTTAATGACATCCTTATTCGTGTTTCTCTCGCATTTTGCTCCCTAAATCGTTGTGGTCGTGGGCTCCAAACAGCTTTTCAATCATTGTAGGTACCAAATGATGAATGACTTTCGAAAAAACCTTTACTACTTCAGATATCCGTTGTGTCCTTATTTGAACTATCATCATCTTTTTTACTTCCAAACGATGACACAGAACTAATAGATATCATGTTTTCTTGCTGAGAATACTGACGCCTGAGCTCTCGATGAAGGCTAGCCTGCCCATTCACATCTCCTGACAAATTGTCTATTAACTCTTTATGAACGATAGCCGCCCATGCACATCTCCTGACAAATGGTCTATTAACTCTCGATGAACGATAGCCACCCATTCACAACTCCTGACAAATTGTTTGTTAACTCTTGATGAACGATAGCCGCCCATTCACATTTTCTGACAAATGGTCTATTAATCCTCGATGAATGATAGCCGCCCATTCACATCTCATGACAAATGGTCTATCTCGTGAGGGACATCCTCTGACATGTTTTGTTCATATAAGTCTCTCACTTCTTCATATCTGCCAACGTATCGTTGACATTAGCATTAATAAGTCTGTTGACACTATCAAAACCTTTTGTCTCAACGTACTACTACTCAGTCGCATCCGTATGCTTGATGTTACCATAACCATAGGTACATCTAATTGCAATGCTACATCTTTTCTTTATACTTCCAAGAAACAAACGGATACCCGCCGCGGCTACAACTGCGGCAGACCTCCTCTCCTCC